TCCGGAGCAAACGATCCCAGCGCATTGGGTTTGACCCATATACTGTTGTTTAAAACCCGCGCCAAATCGTGCACCCAGGAAGTTACTTCGAATTGCTCGTCGGTTTTTAACTTGAGGTGTCGATATTTGTTAGAGAGAACAATGCCATTCTTGCTTCCTGGTGTGCACGGATCGATGGGAGTTATGTGGTCAATTCCAGTATAGTATTGTATAGTATAGTACAGTACAGTACAGTATAGTATAGTATAGTATTGTATAGTATAGTATAGTACAATACAGTACAGTACAGTATAGTATAGTATAGTATTGTATATTAGAGTAGAGTAGAGTAGAGTAGAGTATAGCATACTATAGTACACTTTGTACATAGTATAGTATAGTATACTATATACATAGTTACACAGACACTCCCACAAACAATACAGATATACGAGGAACATGCACATACCCATGCACCGACACACCTATCTCAATAGATACATACAGAACCAGCTATAAACAGAAAAACGCAAAACAATCCCAATAAAAAATGCCGCGCCATGCACGTCAGAAGCCCTATATTTCAGACAACATACACATCTCGGCGCGTACAGTGCGCTCTATACTTTCCATATCCACACATTTGTTCAATTTCCGCAACTATGCACACATCGCCACATCACCTCACCACGACACCCCGCACTTCCCAGCTCACACCTAGACCATTGTACCTCTACCCCTCGTCACTCTGCGCCTGTCTTGGTGTCAAGCTAACCCAGAGTACATGGGACTCGAGAGAAGGCTCGGTCATGGGCCATCCCTCGAGTACTTTCTGCGAGATGAGAGTGGATGGTGGGTAGTAGCGTAGAGCCCTACCAGATCTCCTCAGGAAGCTACGATGTCTCAGACCTCAAAAAGTACACCTCTAGCTTACCTGCATTGTCCTCGCCAAACCGGATCTTGAAACTCGAATCGAACAGCAACACAGTGCGGATATCGTCCACGTTGGTGATCAGAAGCACGCACGTGTCCTTGATGATGCACCATCTGCGGTTGTTAGTCAGAAAACGGCAGCACTGCATGGCTCCCAGGCGGAAGCGGTGACCTCCTCCTTTCTTGGCTACAAAGCCTTCGGTGTACTTCGAGCCTGCCCAAACGTGTATGTGCGGGGTGTTTATAAGTGTGCGTTTGTGTTTGAGGTGTGTGTGTGTTGGTATGTGCGGTGTGTGAGAGTGTGTTTGTATGTATGATATGTGTGTGTGTGCGTGTGTTGTGAGTGAGTGTAGGTATATGTCTGTACTTAGACGAACGAGTGTAAACAGGAGCCACAAACCTGGCCACTTTCCGATATATCATAGACTGCAAAGTATATGCTAATGTACCGATGTGTCCACACCAATGGCTGATATAGAAGCACGAGGCTAAAACACTAGCACTACCCAGTAACAGTCCTATTATTAAGCACGCGTCTATATATAGAATGATTCACATACCCAATTCGCGAATAAACGAATATCGGCTTACAGCCAAAAAATTCAGAACAGCGGGGATGAATCGAGTGGCTGGTACATCGAGCAGTTTCTTGAGATATTCCTCCGCCAACCTTCCCTTAGCCTCATCGGTGTGTCTGAAGCCTTCCAGTTGCAATCTCAGCCTGAGATAGAATGTACAATTCATCAATATAAACAAACAAATATATAC